AGAAACTACTGCCAAACTATAAAGAATTCTGAAAGTTAAAGGACACTCAAAGAGGGAGAGTCAATAAAACTTTTAAAGATAATTTGATAAAAATTAGGTTTTAGTAATATTAAGTTTTCAAGTGCTCTGAAGCATAAACTAGAGAGAAAAGAATAAGGTAGGTATTTACAGTAGTTCAGGAATAAAATTGTATCCACCTCAAATAGCATAGCAGCGCTAAGAAAGAAAAAAATTGATAGAGCTTAGAAATGACGGAGGTGTCTGACTTAGATAAGAGGGAGAAAGTAATAGTGTTAATAAAGAATGAAATAAATCACAAGAGAGAGCTCTCCATTTTCAATGGTTTCTTTCCCTCCTCTTTAAATACAAAATTTTCTTGGGAGAAAGAGCAGTAATGCTCCCTCAGTTGGCTGACTCAGCTACGACCTCTCCTTTTACTGCCAACAGAGAAGAAATCTCAATATAAGTGGTCCTTACCTACTTACTTTTCACCTATTTTGAATGCTTTTTCCCCTTTATTCTACCACACTAACTACATCGTTCAAGGCTCTGTTTGTATGCAGTTCTCCTCAAGTCTTCTAGAATATCTCCTCCTTTTGAAGTTCCCTTTTTTAGATTTTATAATACTATATACTGCATTATGGTTCTCCTCCTAAATCTGAATACTCTCCTTCTCTCTGGCTCTACTCATACCCCCTCTGTCCTGTGTTCTCTCTATATCCTCTCCTTTGAAGAGTTAACACCTACCTACTCTCACTGCTTCAACTATATCTTCTGCACAAAAATTTCTGTGCCTAAGTTCCAGTCTAGCATCTGTTTCTTCTAATCTAATTCTCACGTCACTCAAATTTAAGTTAAATGAAAAGTCAATATAAATTTGTTACATAGCTTTGAAGCATTTTTTTCCAGCCTCAAGCAGGAGAGGAACAATAGCTCTGATTGCAAAAATTCATTTTGTAAAACAGAAAAGGAAGTACACAAAGACTACCACATTTTCTTGAATTACTTACTCTTGGGTAAGGAAGCCCACTGGTAGTGTTGAAAGCTGGTAAAAGTTTGTAACCTAATTGCTTTGCCATTTGAAGAAGTTCATCACTGTACCACTGCATGTATTCACCTTTTTCTTTCAGCATGATTGCCAGGGAGTGTCCACCCAGAAGACCCCTATGATCGCACAGAGGAAACATTATCCACATCTTACAGATACTTAAAAGTCGCCACATAAAAAGGTGTGGGTATTTTATTATCAACAAGTTAGCATACGTAAGGAAAGACTACAGAAAAATTTAATTCTCAACACTGGCTACCCTTTTATTGCAAACTATTACAACTACATAGCCAACATAATTTTTTAAAAAATCATATAATAAGCCCAACTTCTATTGGTGGTAAAGTGTTTGGCATTCTTAAATACCTAAAATTTTCTTAAAACAAAGAACATCCTAGATATACATTTATCTTAACAAATTTTGTAAATTTAATTTTAACGAGTCTCAAATTTAAAAATCTAATTATATCACTATGAAATCTTTAACTCTGTCAGTATAACATTTAAAAAATAAAAAACACAGGCTGCATTAAATACATTAATAAACTATGAAAAGCTACATAACTATTTTTGTATTTAACTGAAGAGTAGACTCACTTTGACAAAAGGAAATGAGTTACAGTAACACAAAATCACTAACTATAAAATTTAATAATGTTGAAACCTGAATAAATCCTATAATTTCATATCTTTAAATGTCCCAGGAGCATTTTGGACTGTTTAGTAGAGAGGTAATCCTATAAATTCAGTTTCATTTGGCTTCTTTGAAGAGGTCCTTGGCTAAGCTTAGCAAACTATGTGAGCTAGTGTAACACCTGTGACGTAGCCAATATGACAAATGTTCAACCTATAGTCCCTTTGCAACAATGCACAAGGATTACCTTTGATTTGAGTCTACAACTATTTCCAAAGCCTGCTACT